CAGAGCAAAAGTCAAAAGGAAATTAAAAAAGAAAACAACCAACACCTTATCAGCTGGAAATTCATCTGATAGAATCAGTGAAGGCTCTAGAGTTCACATTCCAGTTGCTACCTCACATCTTAACCAGAACTCCACATGTAAAGGCCTTTTAAAGATTATTCCCCTTCACATTTTCACAATCATTTCAGACAAAAAGAAAGGTAAAATCAATTGTATATTAAGAAGACACCATTTAAAATCATAGAAAGGAGACATCTATAAAATGGCTTTTGCTGCACAAAGCAGTTTCTGGAGGGGGGGGAAAAACCCTAACTTTTTAGCATGGGGTGTAGAAAAACACAACTTTGGAATTCAAGGAAATGATGATAGGATTCCGCTTCTCCCGCTATTCAAAAATCTGCAAGTTAGTGGATCATTATTATAATTTGTGTCAAGGGTGTAATCCACTCTGATAAGGACCAATTTATGATATCCTGGATCTTCCACACCTCATGCACTAAACCCTTTACAAGTAAACACTGCTTGACAGATTATTTATATTCTGTATATCTTTGCTTTCAGAGAGATTTCAGCAGTAACTCATTACTTTAATGTTTTAATGCAAAACTTCCCATGCTATAATTAAAGCTACATTTTGGCATATTAAAAAAGAATCTGGCTTTCTAAAACCTTTGCTCGAAATACTGGAACTTGCTCCCACTTCTGGCAAATGTTACAAATGAAATCAGCCCATGGCTTTTGCAAGGGCAATTTATTCGCTCTCCCAGCCACTCTAACCTCTGGTTGCTTTGGGGAAGATCTTGCTATGAAGTACTACAATAGAGTATTTCTCTCAACTTTCTAAAATTATGAACTGAACGGTGAACTGTGCTTTATTACACTGGTAAATTTATGAACTGACAGGTTTTTCCCAGAGCCTGAAACACTGCCATATTAAATACCCTCTGAACTAAAGCAGTAAGATAAAGGACAGTTATGTTGCTTGAATCAGTTTTAATCAAACTGTATACCTTCCACTACACTGCTATACTTTTGAAATTCGCTAGCTTTAAGTTTCTCACAATTAGTCTAACGTCAATATCTTAATGCTTAAAGGCAGCCTTCTGTTAAGAAGGTTTGTCAACACCAACTCAACAGGTAGCATTAGCGGTTGCTGTTGAAAGACACAAAGTGTTTCCTCTACTGAGGACTGGGTAGGCCACTCTTTAACAATCCCAAGGTTTAATGTGCAAGGATTACTCAATTGAAATCAAGAATTAACCGTAGGTCTCTCACTTCAAGGCAGTGAAAAATATCCATCACCTTAAAGCAATGGCAGACTGGGTTAATGGATTTCACAGGAAATGGACATCTAAATTAAACACACGATGCCAAAAAAACACAGCCATGACAGTACACATGTGGTCTGTGTCCTGTGTTTTTGATAGCGTCATGCTAATTCCTAGACATGAGTATCCACTTGGGTCCAGAGCAGGAAAAAAAATCAAGGGAGTTGCAGATAATACTGAGGAAGATATCACAAAATTGACCTACGTGTATCGTCTACCAACAATCAATACAACATTAGTAGGTGCAGTTTGCTACCTGCACACCTAGCAGTGACTACAATCTCCGTCCTGGGTCTGAATGAAACTTCATATTTGGTCTGGATTAAATGACAGTTCTGATATGCTGTTGCTGGCTTTCTCCAGTCATGGAATTCATTGTGAGCAGACCTGATGTTACACACACCCATGCTTAGCCCCCAAGTCCATTTTCCATTATTCTTTTTAGCACTCTTCCTCTCTTCCTCTGTTGCCTAGTTCACCTTTCTAAGGCCAGAAGTGTTTTCTCTCATTCCCTTCTATCTGGAATCTCATCAGTGCCTCAGTAGTTTCAGATAGATATATTACCTTGTATATCCAGAGTGTATCTACACTACATAGTTATAGCACTTTGATAACCGCTATGACTGCGATGTCTCCACCCTATGAAATATTAACATTTATAGTTCAATGGTGCGCACAGAATTTGCCACTAAGGGCTTCTAGTACTGTACATTCTCTTGTCCTGGACAGCTCCAGCAGAGAACATTAATTTCCCTTCTTCTTTCTCTGTCTTTGTATACTAATTATTCTTTTCTCCAAAGTAGTTTGTGATCAAATTGAAGTTAAACTGATCAATCATGCATGTTGTTCTCATCTAATTTAAAGTAGATTACCTCCCTATTCTGCTGAGGTACCATGCACGACTTGCATCACGCATGTCACATCTCTGGGAAACATCCCTACAGTCCCAGGTTTCTTGGACCTACTTACATGTATCATAGAATCATAGAATAATTGAGTTGGAAGGGCCTTTAAGGGCATTGAGTCCAACCCCCTGCTCAATGTGGGAATCCAAATCAAAGCAGATCTGACAGATGGTTGTCAATTTTCTCTTGAATATCTCCAGTGTTGGAGCACCCACCATCTCTCGAGGTCAGTGGTTCCATGTCATACTGCTCCAATAGTTACGAAGTTTTTTTTTCTGATATATAGTCTAAATCTGGCTTCCTGTAGCTTAAGCCCATTATTATGGGTCCTGCACTCTGGGATGATCAAGAACAGATCCTGTCCTTCCTCTGCACCTTTCAGTCATTTGAAAAGTGCTCCCCTCAAGTCTCCTTTCCTCAAGGCTAAACTTGCCCAGTTCTTCCAATCTTTCCTCATAAGGCTTGGTTTCCAGTTCTCTGATCATCCTTGTAGCCCTCCTCTGGACTTGCTCCAGTTTGATCTAGTGCTCCTCTGGGCCACTACCTTTAAGTGGGCACCTGCTGGAGGGGGTGGAGCTAGAAAGTGATGAACCACCTGTTCAACCAAAAAACAAACTGGAATAAATCACCATGTTCATCTCTAATCCAGAGCAGTTCATATTGGGGATTATGACAAAGGACATTATCTCAGGAGGTGCGCTTTGGCAAACAAAGCTGACTTACATGGTACAATTTATAGGGGGTTTCTTCTATGCACACTCCCATCTGAATAAGCAGGAGCTATGTAAGACACTGGTAGAGCTCAAATAATGCTCCCATTTATTTCAGTGGGGCTTGTTCCAGGGAATGCTTTGGTGCCCAGAGTAAATCACAGGGATATGCCATGGATCTCCCACCTTAAGAGAGTAAGACATTTCGAGCTTATCCTGGTTGGACCATATTAGATTTTCAGACAATGTGCATTTGCACTTTTCTCTGGGCAAAATCCCATTACATAAATTTTCACCACCTAAACCAGATCACGACACCAAAAGTGATGGATTTAAATTAATTTGAACCTTCCTATTTACCCATTTCAGGTTCTGAGGCTCCTTAGTATCCACCTTTGTGCCGAGGAAGCTTTGAGAGGCTTTGGAATAGGAGGTGCTTAAAGTAAAAAAATATCATTGATGGATTCCCACCAGCAGTCCCAATCCCACCAGTAGCAATTATCACCCATTCTGAAGCTGCCAAAGGCTTTCTCAGGGCAAAAAGAAGTACCAGGGAGCCTCAGATGCCAAAATTGTGGCTGGGGAAATAGGAAGCTTTAAATTAATTTAAATTAATTACTTCCAGGGCCACAATCAGAACGAAACCAACAGCATTTTGCCTTCTTGTGTCTGATTCAGAACAGACTATTATAATCCTATAAGGCAGACATGTGAGAAATCCCAGCTAAGAAAGCATGTGCCATGTTATTTGATCTGACCCTGATCTAATCTTCACTCTGTTTTAGCCAAGGTTGAAAGCATTTGGGTCTCTCTATCCATTAACCCAACTATTATCTGCATCAGCCAGCAAATGTCTCACCTGGTTGAATTTTTTAAAATGACAGGCCCAGGTCATTACCATGATACTGCAAAAAATTACACAAATGGTAAGGGGGAAGCCATAGGCACTGTATCCTATAGGCTCTGGATTTGTGGAAACTCTCCCTGTTATATTTGAAGTACTGTCCTCAAATGTCGCAAAACTAGATTCCACCAGGAGATTGGCAGGTTGGTGTCAGTTTACAAGTCATAAACAGACAACTCTTCCAAAGGGCCTGATCCTGCTATAATTTATCTTTTCTTTGCCTAAGAAAATATTCTGAGGCTGCTTCTTGGGTGGGTGGGATGTGTGACAGCCTTTTTTCCAGCATATAAGAAAAACTTCAGTTCACCATTAGCACTACAATTTGTTAAGAATGCCAGAAAAAACAGAGAGCGGCTTTAAAGAACAATAAATGTCCCTTTGAAAAATGTAACCTTCTGTTCAATCTTGCCACTGCCCCCCCTTTTTTTCTTCACAACATCATTCAACAAGTACTCCAAGAAGACTGGAGCTGAAAGACAGCAGAACTGTAGGCTAGTTTTATTCATAATGCCTCCAGACTCTGCTCTCTGGCTTTGATACGCTTAACACTTCAATACTGCTACCTGAATCTTAAAACCTACCCTATTAGTTTGTATATCAAGTCACGAGACAAAACAAAATCCAAAGGATTTCTTGCAACATTATAATCAGAGAACAAACTTTAATTAAATAAAATTAGGCTTGCTTTCCATTATTTCTTCTACCTGCACACAAAAATGGATTTCTTGAACGTTGATGTTTTGCTCACAGGAGAGGAGATGTCTTTAAAATACTTCCTATTTTATCCTTCTCCTTTACCTAACTCCCTTAAACTTCAATGCAACCTGCTACTTCTTCCAATGAAACTGCTAATGCCAGGTATGAGCTGTAATCTCTCCTAACATTAGAAAAACAAAAGAGCAAGTGAGAGGGATTCTCATAAAGCATATCCTGCTACATAGCACTCGTGTAGTCAATAAGTCTCAGAACAATGAAACGGCTATGAGCGCATTGACACTAATCCATGAAAGAATCTGGAATGAAAATTTGATAACAAGAAGCATACTGTGGCCACTTCTGTCCATCAGCAAGCCTCTTAATCTTACAAATTGATTAAAAAAGCTACCAAGAGAGATGAAATCTAATCTAGTGCTAAAGATGGAAAAGTACTCACGGCAGCCTCTTTCATCTGCTCCATCTGTGCAGTCCTTCACTCGATCACACCTGTATGTATTTGGGATACACTGCCCATTTGAACATGTAAACTGCTGACTGGAACATGTTCGACCAGCTGCAAGACACAATTTATTTAGTAGTGCATCAGAGAAATATATATATATATATATAGAGAGAGAGAGTTTATTTAGTAGTGCATCAGAGAAATACATATATATATAGAGAGAGAGATTGTTATTCTTCCCCTTTTAGCCCTTTTTCTATAACTTTCACTCCAGAAAAATAAATAATTTCCCCCTCTGTATCATGTGCTCCTTCATGCTACGTAGGCATTCAACTATGTCCTATAAAAAGTAAACCCCAAAAGAAAGTGAGAACACAAAGAAGAGCGGCATATCCTGAAAAGTAAGGCCAACTTAGCTACCCTTTGCTACATCCATATTCACTCTGAGCTAATTTCATGATACTGATTGAGTTGTATCCCTTAGTTCAAAGTCCTTGGTCCATTATTAAAAAGAGGTTGAGCCTGTTCATTAGTGCAATTCATGTGCACGCAGCACAGACACATGTGTAAAACTGTCCGTATGGACACATTTCTGATTTTATAGAGCTTGAGTTTGATCCCGACAATCCTATTTCTCATGAAACAGCTACAAAAATATTTATTATCACTTATCTTCCCCCAGTGATAAGGTCCTTCCAGCATTTCCCATTGAAATGAAGAAGAAACAGTTTAGTGGAGATGTAATCTTAGGGTGATTTAGCTATCTTTAATTGCTTCGTGTCATTTGTTTTGTTTGTGCCTCTCAGCTACATGTCAAATGTCACCATTCACTTAGGCCATAAATTCCCTAAAGCAAAGAGTTTTTATTATATCTGTGCATCTTTAAGTAAAGGCTGTAGAAACCATAAAAAATAGGGCATTCATGTATAGTAGGCATGATTTATTACTCAACCAGTCACTGAACCAAGCAAACTCTGGGATTACAGTAGGAACTCTTTAATTACCAGTAATCTCTCCTCCTGGTAGTGATAGACTGTGGTAATTAAAGAGTTCCTGTTTCGATTCTAGAACTTGTCCAGTTTGCCCACAATCAGATTGGTTGTAGGATTGAAGAAGGAACTATTTAACTACCAGTCATCTCTCTCTACCAGCGATGCCATCATTCTTACACAGGCATTAATCAACAGGATCTTTGCCAGCTGAAATATTATGCTACATACAAGGGATCCAAGCCTAACAGCTTCATCCCCATGTCACCCCCAAAACAAGGCAGCTGATATTCAGCTGCAAATTATACCCCTAAACTTCATCTGCAAACCACCAAAGGCATTTAGGCAAGCAAAAATGTTTGCTTCAAGATGGTTTCAGTGATTTGTTGCCGAAATGCAACAGCAAATTGGGTAAATGGGTATGTCTTAAAAAATTTTAATGCCATTTTCCATTTTCCCAACAAAATTCAGCAACAAAGTTTGCTGCTGGATTTTTTGTGGCATAGTTTCAGGATTACTAGTCTCCCAGACCATGTGAACTTGGCCAACTCCTGCTCTGCAAGGTATTCGTTAGTGAGCAGCAAGATCGCAGCCTATAAATGTGTGTATTCATGTACTTATTTTGACACATATACCATGTTTCCTAAAGACACACTCACAGATGTACAATGAATAGATTTATGGTGTAAAAGTACAGTATCTTCTCTGAAGGCGAAAAGCATGGCATGCATTTTGATGAGGAGTGATATTCAAGGGACTGCACACAGCATGTTTCTGAAAATTACCCCACAAAAAACATTGATTCAGAGCTACTTTCAAAAGGCTTTGTATTAATGTGCAGATACAGTATGTAAAACTAAGGAAAGGGACATTTGTCTTAGAAATGTTACTGGATTTTGCCCTTTGTGACTTTTTTTGGTAGATATATAACTACTATTAGCTGGATCAGGTCAAAGGACAATGTAGGTTTGTCTCCTCTCTAAAGAGAGATATAATAAAGGCACTAAAGCCTTATTTCTGGTCAATGATGCAAAGTCTGACCTGCTTCATAACTAGGGAAATGATTTCCCAGACAGCAGGCAGAATTTGACTTTACCTAACTAGTCCCATAAATGCTAAAGAACAGACGGAAAGGTTGAATATTTTCTAACGGAAAGCCATAAATGGAATACACATACAATCTGCCCAGCCCCTAAAGTTCAGGGCCCTTCCTTGCACCCATCTCTGTGTATCACAACCACACTGTGAGGTTAGCGGACATTCTTAACATTTCAAGGGAAAACAAAGATAATGCAAGAATGCAAGATTGTTAAAACGCAGTTGTGTAACCATTCTGAATATCAGGTAGAATTTGGGAATCCTGATACCAGCTGATCTGAATGCACTTCCCAGCTTCATGTGCTTATCAGGACAGTTATCCTCCAGATCTGTCACTTCAGATTTCACTTCAGTGAATTGAGCAATTCAGTACTCAGCTCATTTTTAAAAGCATATTTCAAAATCTAATGCATATAGAAATTAATAATTCCCTGTTTTAAAAGAATTAAACAATATGTCTTTAAATATACAGCTAAATTAAAATGTTCATTTTCTTAAAATTGCAAATGAATTCTAAATGGATGGAATACTTCTTCAAGTGGTATGGATTGGAAACAAGTTGATTCATCCTTCTTCTTTTTTTCAAGAAAAACTTTATGTATGCTAATGACCAATGCAGATAATATTATTAGGCACAAAATCCAGTGGCATGTGGCTACATGGGAATTACACCATAGATCTGACAAAAACATTCAAATAAGAAAAATATTCACTCCATGAAGACATGCCAGATGGTGCCTTATGCCAAGTCAGAGCACTGGCAATCAAACTCAGTTCTGTCAACTCTGAGCAGCAGCAACTCTGCAGGCTTTCTGGCAGAGGTCTTTCCCAACGTATACCTTGAGAGAGCAGGGGCTGAAGCTACTGCATGGAGAATATGTGCTCTACTACTGAGCGACAGGATTAATGGTAACAGCATCACTTACGGCACTGTTGATGTTCATCAGAGCCATCTTCGCAGTCTTCCTCATCATCACATACCCAGGACTGAGGGATGCATTCTCCATCACTGTGACACTGGAACTGACTTCCTCCACAGGTGGGTCGTGCTGGTACGGCAAAAGAACACTTGAAATCAGTACTTTAGATGTTAGGTAAAGAGAGACACTGGTCTACAGAAAATGCCTCTAGTCCTATAAAATGCATTTTAAATACAAGCAGTGCCTAAAAATAAGAATCATGGCAACATTCAAGTTTCACTCATCCATTTTACCAGACTTCCTTAGTAGAAAAATGTTTAGACACTACAGTATAATAACAGAGGGGACCATTTTCTTTAACTCTAGACTAGGACATTATACTCAAATTATATCTTTAGTTTATGGCATAAATTCATAACGGTATAAACTCCAATGATGAAACAGAGAGGCAGAAGCAATGACCAGTGTCAACATATAATCCTGTTAATTGCATGAATGAAACACACAAGGAGACATGACTTCCATAAATCTATGTTCTACCCCTACCAATGTCAACCTAAGGTTGATGCAATTCCAAGATGCAACACCTGCAACCATAATCTGATTTAAAGTGCTCATCTATATGTCTTATTTGCTGTTGATATCACGTCAAGTAGCAGTAAAGGAAAAAATGTGTACCACGGTGCCTCAGCTTACAAACATCCTGACTTACAACCATTCCAAGTTACAACCAGCTCTGGCCGCAAAATTACTATATATGTCTTATATGCTGTTGATATCAAGTCAAGTAGAAGTAAAGGAAAAAAATGTGTACAGCGGTGCCTCAGCTTACAAACGTCCTGACTTACGACCATTCCAAGTTACGACCAGCTCCGGCCGCAAAATTTTGCTTCAATTTGCGACCAGGGCTTCGAGTTACAACCAGAAAAAGGCAGGGGGAAAGGTGTGGAATTCAAACTGCTAACCGTTGGTGGCGAAGAGGCTGCTTCTTTGTAGCTCTTCTGCCCCAGTGGTTAGAGAGTCTGCGTTCGGAGGAGGCTTCAGACTGCCTGGTAAGGAGCTGCTTTTTGCTTTTTTAAAACGAGTTGTTCTGGGTTTTCAAGTGTGGGTTTAGGCTGTGTGGTTGGGTTATGTTTCTATGCTGTGAGGCATCTTGTAGTCTTTGTTTTGGTTTTTTTCTCCACATTTTCCAATGAGTCTTGCAGGGTTTAATGGTTGTTGTGGGTTTTTCGGGCTCTTTGGCCGTGTTCTGAAGGTTGTTCTTCCTAACGTTTCACCAGTCTCTGTGGCCGACATCTTCAGAGGACAGCACCACCAGAGCACAGAGTGCTGTCCTCTGAAGATGCCAGCCACAGAGACTGGTGAAACGTTAGGAAGAACAACCTTCAGAACACGGCCAAAGAGCCCGAAAAACCCACAACAACCATTAGATCCCGGCTGTGAAAGCCTTCGCGAATACTTGCAGGGAGGTTTTGTTGCTTTTTGGTTGTTGTTGTTTGGCATTTCCAATGGGTCTTGCAGTCTCTGCTTTTTTGTTGTTGTTGTTTTGCATTTCCGATGGATCTTGCAGTCTCTGTTTGCTTTTTGGTTTGTTTGTTGTTGGATTTTTTTGCATTTCCGATGGGTCTTGCAGTCTCTGCTTTTTGGGATTTTTTTTTCTTTCAGCTGAAATGGATTAATCATGTTTCTGATGGGTCTTGCAGTAGTGTGGGGAGTTTTTTTGGTGATTTTTTTTCTGTCCAGAAAGGTTTAATCAACCATTTTGAGTTGCGACCATCTTCTGGAACGGATTAAGTTCGTAAGTCAAGGCACCACTGTACTGTCAAGAATCTCTGGCACCAAACAAAGTCCAGGTCGTACTGGTGTAGCACAAGTTACATCTGCATAAATGTGCCAAGAGTTACACCCAGCAGCAAGAAATTATGCAGTGGTTGATCACGCATCCCAGGCATAACCAACTACACAAAGCATGGGTGGAAGTGGATAGTTCATGGATAGTACTTTTGCCTTCGGACTATCACAGCAACCATAAGCATAACACTGAGTTACACAACAGAATTTTGCCCATCATGATGGGATGGAAGGGAATATTTGTCTACCACCACACCTCTGATAACACTTCTCCAAAACACCCTATCCTCCAACTCCGTTACCTTCCATATCTACCTCTTTTCAAGTGACCACATCTCACCATCCATCTCTTAAAAAAAAACAATCATGTTCCATAAACCAAAAGATACAGAAGACTGAAAGAGAAAACTGAAGCCCAAAACAACCGAAGAGAAAAAGTATTATCACCTCTTAAATATACCCTGGGCCAATGACAAAACAAAGCAACCTCCTTTGCAAGATGGGTGAGGTAACCAAAGCCCCTGCTGTTAGAATCACATGTATGTTAGCACGTGAGAAATTCTCTGTTCTAAGGACAAGCTATCTAGTTCAGCCCCCAGACTCTACATACACACATGTTCTAGTCTTCCAGGTAGTGACATCTCTCCCAAGTCATCTCTATCACCCAGTTCGGAGTGTCCTCTTTCCGCAAACGGAATTAAGAGTATTTCATTGTTGGTTGTTGTTGGGTTTTTCGGGCCAAAGAGCCACAACAACCATTAGATCCCGGCCGTGAAAGCCTTCGCTAATATATTTCATTGTTCATTTATTATTTGACTCCGCCATCCCTCTTTCTACTCCATATGGAGTACTGCTTTCCTGCCTTAGCATCATTAACCTTGCCATCCCAATTTCTACTCCATATGGGACTGAGGACTGCTTTCCTGCCTTAGCATCATTAACCTCTTGAACTAAATTAAAGGAAGAACAATACTTCCTTACCTAAGGGCTCCCCTACAAAGAACTAATCAAGTCCCGGTACGTGAAGGAAATCTAGACAGAGCTGGATGCATGGCAAGCCAGCAGACCCAGTAAGTGACTAATAAATCATTAACACCATAAAGTTTTAAAATCATATCTTAGGGTAAAGATATGTTCCACTTACCACAAATATAAGTGCCTGTAGCACCTACTAGAAGTTTTCCAAAGGGCAAGTGTTTTGAACGAACATAAAGCTACTTACGGCAGCCAGCTTCATCCGTATCATCAGAACAGTCCCTGGCTCCATCACATCTCCAGTCTGCAGGAATACAGCGGCCATTTCCACAGCGGAACTGCCCACTCTCACACCCTGAAAATCACAAATCAGACCTGGATTAATACAAGGCATAACTCTCACACCAAACATGATCCGTTTTCTCAAACCTTTGAACGCCAATATGTTAAGAAGAAACCAAGAAATGCCAGGCAAAGCTCATATTCAAGCAAGCATTCAACTCTTTCATCAAAAATAATCCACCAATCCATATTTTTAGTGCAGTGTTCAAACATAAAATGTCTCTGAATTCTACCTTCCATGCAAATCTACAGTGGCTGAAATCCTACTGGTTAGTCACACATGCGGAAGGCAAACAGTGTAACTTTCAGTAACTTCCTGCAGACAAATGACAAGTGCCACCAGGATTCTCAGGGTTCTAGGCATCTACTGGTTTGATGATGAGCTTAAGAATCAAAACCTAGAAGCTACTGAAAATTACTGAAGCTTCTAAATGTTAACTGCCAGGATTTGGGCCAGTAATTGAAAGACATGTAAAATCAGTTTAGTTATAATACTGAGAAGAGGAAGAACTCATCAAAATCTTCCTGTGATATTAATGAGCTCGTCCTATTTCTTCATTGGCTGTGTCTGCGTAGAACAGCAAACCAGGATTATACAGCACTGCATACAGTACTGTACTCCCACTTGGCTTTTTCCACCAGCAGCTAAACAAAGCATATGAAGGGTTTGCTTCCGGTGTCATCTGACGACGGGATCCTGGCCACAGGATTAACCTTTCAATCCTAGCAGTCCAAAATGGCCAAGGTCCAGCTGAGCTAACATTAGTCCAGCTGAAAATATGGTAAATCCAAATCTCTCCCAGCCTAGCGATGTTGGAAATTATTTAGAACCTTGCTCTGGCTTAACATCATGCCAGCACTGAGTCCCTGGGCCAGAGGAGGCGTGGATCTAAGCGTAATTACGGATTGTACTGTAAGACAGTATTTATAGCCCTAGAGGGAACTATGGTTTACCATTCTGAATTTTTAAAAGTACTACAGTACTACCAAATCACCCTGAGCACAGAAAATTTTCGTAGCTAAGCAAGAGTCTAGGTTAGTGCCTAGACAATGTTAACACCACTGATCTTTAGAGGGGGCTAGGAATCTGCCTGAAACCCTGGGAAGTTACTGCCAAACAGAGCAGACAATACAGTACAGTACTAGATCAGATGGATCAAAGAGCAGACTCTATATCCGGCAACTCCCTTTGTTCCTAACAAGCCAGGAGTCCAGATTCAGAGGTTTCTCGCACCTTTGTCGACTTGGGCTAGTGAGGGGCGCTCTCTGGAAGCAAATCAGTTGTGCGCAATGGGTTGCATGCCCCCAATGCACAGGTTCTTCAGAGAAACCGAGGATTCTCTATACATGTGCAGATACTCCTTTCATGAACATATTTGCAAAATATATTATAGGAATGTGTGGCTTGATCTTGCTAATGAATATATCTTTTTATAATTTATAGAAGTGTGGAAGAAGTCCTTACAAGTATATTTGAATAAAAAAATATTCCGGTTCATATTTTGTGAACATGACATTACATGACATCACAGAGCAAACAATAAAAATACATTCCTTTTCGACTTTTATATATGTATTTTAGTATTAAACTATAAAATGACCAGACAATGTATGTTAATATTAACAAATATGACATAGCAAGGGAACACTAAAACAATGACTTCGGATAGGAATACATAAAAGCAAAATAAAACCAAGAGTAAAAATAAAGGCATTGCAGTATGTAAAGCCAAGTTAAACTAAGAACAAGTAAGAATGCAATGTTATAAAAGCATTAAAATGGTTCTTAAAACTATCCAGGAGAATTAAAAGGCCACCAGATTATTTTCAGATATACTGTATATGTTTAGATAATATTCAGATATGGAAATGTTGTATATCATCATCATCCCCCCATGGGCACAAGCCTCCTCCAGGAGGTAGGGTTTGCATGCTTCCATGAGGTTGTGAGCTAAGCTGAAGGATCTCCGAAGCCAGACAGGTCTAAGCTGAGAAGCCAGACCAACTGTGTCCACCAACCATCATTTATGATGAGAGAAAATAAACAGAAATACATATGGGATCAGTCGTTGCCCAGGTGAACAACAACCGCATCAGATGCTATAGCCCCGGGGCATCTGGTGACAAGGGCTCAGCAGACCCTGTTGAGGAACCAGGACAGGCTTCTGCAAAGCAACTGGAACAACATAAACGCAAAACCTGGACTCTCACCAAAAATTGAGAAATTATGAAATGTTATTATGAGGCAAACCCATCAGTTCGTGGTTTTCCAAAAAGAATGATGGAAATTTGGAAAAGGAAACACCCAAGTAGTGACATAGCTGAACAACTATTAATGGACCAGAGAAAGTTTATCATCTGGAGTAAAGTGTTTTTAGAACTGAAACTGCAAGAACTAGAAAAGGTGGCAAAATCAATACAGAACAATGACCATAATATGGAAGACAAATGGAAGGTAGAGGTAGACACAATAGTGGAAGAAAACATATCAGTAGAGGAACAACTTATGGAACAACCCAGAAATTATGAGTTGAATGGGAAACATCACTGATGGGAAAAATAGTAACCCATATTAGCCAGAACACAGAAAGACAAAGCCTCCCCAATTTGCACCAATTACAAAGTAAACCGGAATGATGTAAATGTTGTCATCAAAACAATCCCAGCCAACACGCTAAAGGAAACAAACCAATTAATGTATACCACAGCTACCATAATAACCATGAAACTTGGTTACAAGTTGCAAAACAAACAAACAAAAAAAAAACCAGAAAACACATGACACCCCAAAATGGAAAATTCAACTGGAAAGAAAAATAAACAAATTATGTGCAGATATTACCAACTTAAAACACTCGACTCAAAACATAAAAAGGAAAAGCCAGTCTATGCAAAATATATGACCTAGAAAGGAAAACAATTGTTGAAACTATGGAAGAATTAAAACAGTGGGTATCAGCTATAGCAAAGAAAATCAATCGTCTCTTATACATGGATGACCTAAAACTACAGTGGTGCCTCGCTATGGGAAAACATCGTAAAACGGATCCAAAAAACCCATTGGGCCCAAAACTCACCGTTCTCCGATGTTTTCCCTTGTTCCGGCAGCCACCTAGTTGTACCGGCGCCCATTTTTGTGTTCTGGTGGCCATTTTGGGTGTACCGGCGGCCATTTCTTTGTTCCGGCTGCCATCTTGGTTGTACCGGCAGCCATTTTGAGAGTCCCGGCGGCCATCTTGGGTGTACCGGCACCCATTTTTTGTGTTCCGGCGGCCATTTTGGAACCGCTGAACAGCTGTTCCCCCATCGTAATGCCAACATGCCCTCGCATTAGCGATGGGGAAATCCGCATCGCAATGCGGATTCATCGTTCAACGGTGCACTCGGTATACGAGGCACCACTGTATATGCAAAAAGTTCCATAGAGATAGAATCACTGCTAAACACAGTGCAAATATTTAGTGAAGATATTCAAATGAAATTTGGAATTGACAAATGTGCAGCTCTGCAATATTATAAAATCACTCCCAAGTGATGAAAATTATAAATACCTTGGAATACTAGAAGCAGATATTGTGCACACAAAAGTTAAAGAACTGTCAGAAAGAGAATATATCAAAAGACTGTGGAAAATCTTAAAATCAAAATTAAATGGGAGAATACAATCAAGCCATAAACACATGGGCCATTCTAGTAATTAGATATCCTGGAATAATAGGTTGGATTCAAAACAAACTAGAAGAACTGGATTGAAAAACACAGAAACTAATGAACATGCATCACACACTACACCTAAAAAGCAATGTGGATAGATTATATTTACCACCAAAAATCGGAGGCCGTGGATTACTGCAAATGCAAGAGGCAGTAGAGGAAGAAAAAAGAAGCCTAAATGATTATATCAGTACAAGCAGAGAAAAATTGCTGAAAGCAGTGAAAATGGAGAATATTTTGAAAACAACACAAACAAAGGCTCAATATAAGAAACAACAATTTGAAAAGAAATTAAACTGCTGGAAAAAATAAACCACTACATGGACAACACCTGAGAAATATTGATGGAAAGCATGATCATGATTCAACACAGGCATGGCTAAAACTGGGGACCCTTAAGAAAGAAACTGAAGGCTTGATTTTTGCTGCACAAGAACAAGCACTCCAAACCAACATGATGAAAACCGAGATCCAAGGAGTTAGTGCTAACAACAAATATCGACTCTGCCAAGAAAAAGATGAAACTGTGTCACACCTCATCTGCGAATGTCCAAAGATTGCATAAACAGATTACAAAGTTAGACATGACAGAGGCAAATTTAGTGCACTGATCATTATGCAAAAAATATAACTTGCTGGCCTCCAAAAACCCACAGGAACATCAGGCAGAGAAGGTGTCAGAAAATGAGAAAGTCAAGATCTTGTGAGATTTCCAGATCCAAACGGACAGACACCTTGAACATAACACACCAGACATAGTAGTAACAGAACAAAGAAATGTCCGGATCATTGACATTGCAATTCCAGGGGATGCCAGAGTTGAAAATAAAGAATTGGAAAAACTAACCAAGTACCCAGCTTGCTGGGGAGGGGCAATGTGTAGCCTGCATAATTAACTTGCAAACCACCCAGAGAGTGCTTGAAATACTATGGGGAGGTATATAAACAGCACGCTTTGCTTTACAGAGACCTGGCAATCGAAACATCTCGCCTCTGGAAGAAATACATTTCAATGGTCCCCGTAGTCATCTGGGCTTTGGGAACAACATCAAGAAATTACAGACATTACTCTAAGCAGTTGCAGTTCTCAAAAATCACACCATCAGAGCTACCAAAAAAGTGGCAATGCTGTATTTAGAACAGCATAAAAACTGTGTCGATATTTAACAGATACAGTGGTGCTCCGCATAGGGACGTTAATCCATTCCAGGAAAAATGTCGCTATCCAGATTCCTCGCTATGCGGGGCCAAAAACCCCATAGGAACCCATTAAAATACGTTTAATGCGTTCCTATGGGG